TCCGGCCCTAATTTGTTGATCCTTGAAAATCCTGAGAACTGGTGATGCTGGGGTGCTCAGTGACTCAGTCAGCAGGGTGGCTGTGGAGTCAGGCTTTTGCACACCAGCACCCAGGTGTGAGCCCGGGGTTCACAAGCTGTCCCATGAGCGGCAGAACCAGCAGAGACCTCACTTTTTCCTGGATCGGTGTCCTTTATCCCTACATCCCCACTGTGTCTGCCCTAGCTCTACCACTTGTAGTGGCTGCCCCTTCTCCAACGGCTCTGGGACCCCCCTTCCCCTAGACCTGTCTGCATTCACCCCAGCTCTCTCCTTCCTTCTCTGTCATCTGAAGGAGATGCCTAGACTTGCTCTGCATCCTACCGGTGCTGACAGACCCTTTGGTAAAGCTTGAGAAGAAATCAGGGTTTGAGTCCTGCATGGGGTTTTGTTAGCGTTAGTTAATGGCTTTAATGTTTATCAGAGGATTGAGAGCCCAAAGAAAAAGAGTCTTCTTTTAAGAAACCAGCTGGAGCTGATTTGCTTCTCTCATCTGCACAGCATGTGTCTTGGATTTGCACCTGGGTGATTCACTGAGGTCCAAGTGTATTCACAGAAAGTACTTCCCTTGAGTTTTGTAGGAAGTGGCCACTTGAGGTATCTGTAGTTTTTAAAAAAAGCCAAACAGCCCCCCCTCGATGTTTATCTTTTAGAGTTACACTAAGTGCTGGAGAAAAGAAAGAAATAAATACAAGAACTACAGAGGGGCTGGTTGACATTGGTTTGTTATTTTTATGCTGTAAAAATAATAGCTCTGAACTCTGGCTCAGGTTTATACTTAAGTGATGTAAAAATCTCATAAATCAAAACCCTACATGCGTCGAATAGGAACTGTTATCCCTCATGAAGTGGACTCCTGCCTCCGGTACTGCTTAAGAACAGCTTTCTTCCTGAATAGTCTTTGGCCTCAAACTTGGCAGTTCTTCCTCAGAATCATCAGTATCTACGCTGGTGAGGCTTGTTGGCCACCTCCTGCTCTCAGAAACCAAGCCCTCCGCCTGCGTTCTCATTTCAAAGCCCACGCTCTGCCCTGGACAGGAGGGATACAGCCGTCCCACGTGGATCCCTTCCCAGGTCTCTGCGCAGAGGTCGATGCTGCTCTTGGGTCTTGGCACCCCAGAAAGCCCACAGTGCTGCAGGGGGGCAGCAAAAGAAGTATTTCCAGTGTTGTACAAGATGCTTCTCATTGTCACATGTTCTACAGCATCCATCTGTACACTTCACTGACCCCCTCATAATCACAAATGTTGCCTTTTTTGGTTTGTTTCCCTGTATCCATGATAAGAACAGTCATCCCTGTAGATGTGCCTGTGGCGTATATTCATCTCCCATCCGATTTAATTTTTATCCTTGAACCTTTTTACTGGTCTTTGGGCATGTCAAACGGTGTCCTCAGACTTACCAAGTGCAAGTATTTAAGCTGTCTTCTCATGTATCTGGTAAATACTTTGGACATTTTGCTAGTCAACATGAATTTCAATTTTGCATGGACTTAAAGTTTTAATAGTGGCAGTCCCGAGCAGCTTCTGTATATTATGTATATGTTTTGTTGTGATGCTTCCTTTGCTGACTGAATGAAAAATGTAGGTTTAATGAAGAATAGCAAGAAATAAAGCTATTGTCTTAGGAAGGCATTCAGAATAGATATGAAGCAGATTTGTGGTGAATGAGGGTTTCTTTTTCTGAGTGAGGGGTTCCCTTCTGAATGTCCAAAACCAAATGTGTGGATTTAAAATTTGAATATAATAATGCAGTTGTGCTGAAAGATCTCATGATTTTTTCAGAGCACATGTGTGTGGGGGACCTGTGTTAAACCTAAAGGTTTGTGGCAGTGGATATTTCAGCACCTTCTATAGACAAAACCAGTTATGCTCTGGCAGAGTGTACTTGCTTTCTGATTTTTGACAAAGCCCTCTTGCTGTTTACAGCAGATGAGCTGTTTGCTTTTTCTCCTGACACTCATTAGTAAGATAGGGTAGAAGAGGCCTGGGACATGGAGATAAGGGAGAGCCAGCGAACGTGCTGCTTCTGGAGGCTGCTCTGGAGGATGTGACGCTGAACCCAGGCAGTTCTTTTGGCGGGCAGCGGTGCGGTACAGAACGTCCTTCCGCTGTGGCCGCAGGCATGGCTGTCGCTGCTGGAGCCCTCTCTGCGCTCATCGTCACTGTGTGGCTGCACCGGTGGGGCCATGAAGCCACTGTCCTCTCCCAGGAGCTCAGGTTCAGGGATGTAGCAAACGAAATCGTGCCTGTGGGGATTTCAGGCTGTGTTTCAGCAGGCTCTGCACCTGTCCTCAACCCTCAGGGTCTTTGCTATATGCAGCCCCGGCTTCATATCTCTGCAAGATGCTTTGAAACCTGAAGCGTTTTCCAGAAGCGTTGCCTGTGCACGCTGACACGCGTCGTCTGTGCTGCCTTTCGCCTCTCCGTGCTGACAGTCCTCGTCCTTCTGGCGGAAGGCGACAAGGTCAGACCCGCTGAGGCTGCACTCACAGGGCACCCCTTCTTGCTAGGAAGGGGCTGCACCTGCCTCTAGAGGTAGTTGTCTCCATTTAGCCAACATGGAGGTTGGCATGGGTGGGCATTTTATTCCCTTAGAGGGAATTTTAGCAGCCTGGGTTGGGTTATCCTCTGGCTACCTGCCTGCTCTTAACTCCAGCTCCCTCCACAAAAAAATTGAAATAAAACCTGAATATGAATACAGACTAGGCACGGTTTGTGTGCTTTGATCTGAGGTTGCAGTGGAACAGCACATCTCCAGATACAGATCCAGGCTGCTCTTCTCTTCTTTTGGAGAAGAGGAAGCTGAGGAGTGATCTCATCAATGCTTATAAGTGTCTAAAGGGTGAGCGTCAGGAGGATGGAGCCAGACTTTTCTCCGTGGTGTCCAGTGACAGGACAAGGGGCAATGGTCACAAACTGGAAAACGGGAGGTTCAGCCTAAGCACAAGGAAAAACTTCTTTACTGTGAGGATGCCGGAGCCCTGAACTGGCTGCTCAGAGAGTGTGGAGTCTCCTTCTCTGCAGACATTCAAAACGTGTGTGGATGCGTTCCTGTGTGACCTGCTGTAGGTGACCCTGCTCTGGCAGGGGGGCTGGACTAGATGATCTTCAGAGGTCCCTTCCATTCTGCGATTCTGTGATTTTATCATCTTCTACATCAGAGAAATAACAATTGCTGTAACAACAAGCACTTGTTTGTGAGTAGTTGTAGTAAAGGCTCTGCTTTTTGCTGTGCCAACCACAAGGACAGCCTTGCTGGAGCTGAGCTGCTGGACGTGGCTCCTAGCCTGACTGGTGCATGGTTGCATGGCTGCAGCACATCAGTGTCGTGGCTGAAGGTGCCTTGCACTGACTGCTGCAGGGGCTGGAAAAACACACAAGTGTTGGGGTCCGCACTGCCTCGCTCAGCCAAACCCACTAAGCCCCGCAGCCAGTGCTTCCTTCTTCACCCTCACACTGCCCTCCACCTGCAGGGTGACCACAGCTTTGAAAAGCTGTTTTTCCCCTCCTCGCCTCCTGGCTGTGGGAGCCTGAGGGACGCTGTTCCTCCCATCAAGGAGGTCCTGTGTCTCCTGGCACTCCACCTCCCAAGTGGCGAGTGGCAGGGGGGGAATCACCATCACACCATTGGGAAACCAAACATCTGACCAGATGACAGCTCTAAATTTAAGGGCTTGCTGTCGAGCCATGTGTGCGTTAATGTGCCCTTTTGTGACCAAGCTAAAGATAATTTTCCTATCTGGAACAGCAGCTGCGTTGTAAGTTGTATGAAGAGACTTGGCCGCTAATGAAGAGCGATCATAAGAGTGCGAGCTGCCCTAAGAGGATGAGCAAGGCTGGAGAGATGTGACTCGGGGCAGGGCTCTGACGCTCTGCAGAAGGTGAAAAGAGGCCATTTATAGAAACTCAAAACATGTTTGGCTCCTTGAAAAATACACAGGCCTTGCTGTTATTTTAGTCTGAATGCTACTTAAGAGAATAGCAAGACTTTTTTTAAACTGTAGGAGAACTCTCTTTAAACTATCTAGAGTTCAGTGTTCTCCACGAAAATAAAGTAAGTATACAGACAGTGCTATGAAACAGAAGGATGCTTTCAGCAAGAAAGTGGCTGGTTACGCTCCTGTGTGTTGTAGTGAGTGTATTTTTAACCCACCTGCATATTTTAAAAAAGTTGACCTCAGAGGAGGTCTACTACATTCTTTCAGAGCTGGCAGAGGTCCAGTTACGTGCATGTGATTGTGTGGGGCATTTTATATTAGGAGGCACAGGACAAACCCCTGGGTCAGCAGGGATTATCCGGATAGGTCATTTAGTATGTTACTCCCACTTCTCTTCTTGAAGGATTGGTTTAGATGTGCAGTAGCGCTCAGGTCAGCTGCTTAGCCTGCAGCAGCACGAACACGTGTTGTCTCCAGGAAGGTGGGTCACGAAACAGCACGTTTAGCTGGCAGCCTCCTGAACACAAGTGGATAATACTTCCTGATCTCCTTGTGGCTTTAAAACATGGGAAGGAGCGCTGCACACTGTAGCCTCGTGAAGGTTTGGAGGGCTCAGAGTACTCAGTGATGCTACAAATCTGTTTTCCCACCTGGTGACAACATTACCTGGAGTCCCATGTGCGTGGAGGCATTACTGGGGGCTTGTAAGGGCATGAGAGGTGCAGACTTTATGATTTGTGTTTTATTGTCTTTCAAGGAAATGAATACCTAGGACACTTTGTTGACTTGGACAAAGACATGTCTGGCCAGGGTCCTGTACAAAGTAATTCCTCCGTGCTGAAAGTCTGTGACAGGACAATGTGCTGCCGAAGTTGTGCCACTCTCATGACCATGGGCCATTACTCGCCTCTAGGATATGGACAAGGGGTACTGTGAGCAATCTGACCTGGCTTTGAAGTCAGCCATGCCTTAAGCATAAATCTTCTGCAAGTCTGTGGTATTGAGCACTGCCCGGCCAGCCGGGCTGCAGTGTCATGTTTCGCATATTCAGTGTGACACTTCTTTTCTTTTCAGGTCCTGTTTCAGCACAAAAGTGAGATTCACGAAACCCCTTTAAGATGTCCTACAGAAAGGAGCTAGAAAAATACAGAGACCTGGATGAAGACAAGATCCTTGGAGCTCTGACAGAGGAGGAGCTCAGGAAGTTAGAGAATGAACTGGAGGAGCTGGATCCTGATGTAAGTCATTTTTTCATGAGATTTACTGGGTGGTAAATCTCAGTAGTTGTGAGGAAATGAGCTGCACTAGCAGCCTGTATTTAAGCAGGATCCTTTGCAGAACCTGCACCCGCTGCAGGGGTGGAAGAGACTGTCCACAGATGAGCAGAGGCGGTTCTGCCATCGCAGGCATGGGCTACGTGTGGGACTTTCTGTGGCATTCCTCAGCTCCTGCCCTGACGTGCGTGCTCCAGTTTGGCAAGCACTGTGATGTGCAGCACCAGTGTGATCTGGAGCTGGTGCAGGGCAGCAAACCTGCAGAAACTGAATCTCTGCTTCTGATCAGGCCAGCCTGGAGGGAAAGTTTGGGGTTTTGTGGGTTGTTTGGGTTTATTTTTTTCGTAGCAAACTTCAAATGGTATGTATTTTCCTCCCTTTAGGCAGAAATCCAAATCCCAGAGTTTTTGCAAAACAGGACAATTGCTCTTTAGCAGCCTTCCAACATCAGTAGGAGCTGTGCATATGCAGAAACTGGGCCTGCTGGTGCCAAGCAATGAAAGCTTTTTGGAGGCAACGTTGTCCTGTGGCCCTAGCACAGGGTCTGTGCAGAGCCAACTGGCAGGCCTGTGGGTTACAGTGACATTAGGTGATGAGGCTGGGCGCTGCCAAGTGATAAATCGCTCCCACAACACGCAGGTAATGTTTCATTAGATGTGCAGTGTAGATTGCATCATCAATATTTTTAATTGCAACAGAGGAAGATAATTAAAGAGGTGGCAGGCTTGCTCCTGGGATTAAACGTATGAGCTTGAAGCTCCCTGCTTCAGGAGACACAGACTCAGGCAGCAGTCTCTGGAAGATGCAGAAAGGTAAAACAGTCACAAACATCTGTTGAGACAGGTATAGCCTGACTGCAGGAGCGAAAGCGTGAGGATTGCACAGTCACCTCTCACAGCATGAAGCCTGAGGAGGCAAGCTGTTTGCTTTGCCTCCCTGCTTGTGCTTTAGCACAGTTCTCTGATGCCTCCCAAGGCTGCCCATGTCTAATTGCTTCCTAATAGTAATTTTCCTTGCCAGGCTTTTCACTCGTACGGATTTATATTATAATGAATTAGTTTTATTAGACAGGCATGAAAAGAAGCAGCGTGTTGTTCAAACTCACCTTGGATGTCTTAAAAAGTAAATGTTGACTTCTATCCGGCAAAGCTTTAAAGAACATGCTTAGTGTCAAATCTGGGAATAGTCTTACTTACTGCATTAAGACTGTTCTATATTTAAATATAAGCAGGTGCTTACGTGCCGTATGTGTCAAGCAGAAAACAACTTCCCATGGTGGCTAATGTGACTGAATAACAAGGAGGCAGTGTGAAAAGGGCTGAGGTTCACAGCCGTTTTGTTCTGCGATGGAGTGACCTTCTCTGTGAGGCCCTGCCTGTGGTTTTGTGATAGACCACGAAAGGCAGAAGAGAACACCTCAACTCTCTGGTCTGCTCTATGAAACACCATTCAGAATTTCCCTGAACTGATGCTTATTGGAACACGTAGGGCGTGTGGGCATTTGAACAGACATGTATAGGGAGGAGAAGATTGGCCAAGTTTAGCAGCTTGGTAATGCTGTGACTGTTGCAAAGAGGGACCAGAAATGGTCAGGGTGTGGGAAGAGGCTAAGAGAAGCAGGACCTGGTGTCTGAGAGCCCCTGGAGAAAGGGCTGGTGCTGCTGTTGTAGAGAAACATCCACGTGGCAGCATGAAGATCTTGTGGTGGAACCAGCATTTGAAATTGGAGGGGGGAAGGAGCATTACGTGTCCTAGATGATGTGAGACTCATTGAGACTGGATGGAGAGAACCTTTGACACAAGGAGAAGCAAATTGTCCAGCACAGTGGAAGAAAGACAGCACAATGAGGAAAGTGGAGAGCATCTGATGGATGGGGATCATGGCCTGCAGACATAACTTGTGCTTCTCCCCTCCCTGCCTAGAATGCATTGCTGCCAGCGGGGCTCAGGCAGCGGGATCAGACGCAAAAGCCACCGACCGGCCCATTCAAAAGGGAGGAACTCATGGCCCACCTAGAAAAGCAGGCGAAGGACATAAAAGACAGAGAAGACTTGGTTCCTTTCACGGGTGAAAAGAGAGGTATGGTCATCTGTCGTACCACTGAGTGTGTCGTGATGAAGGCACGGTGGGTGCACAGTGGAAAGGTTGTGTCTGACCTGCCGAGTAATCATGACCTCATTTTGGCACTGTTGGAGTAGTGGATCTCTCTGCTGTCTAGCCCCGGCACAGCTTGGCTAATAAACTAGGGTGTGCCCAAGAGGTCCACCCACTTGCTGATTTTAGCACCACCTGAGATGATGTTAAGTGATGGACAAAGGCTGTACCACTGTGCAGCCTCTTTCCATCCCCACCAAGCTCCAGGGAAGACATCAGCTTTGGTCCTCTCTTGTTCCTCCTCTCCCCTGTCCTTCTGTGAGCTCTGCAGGCTGTGCTCTGCCCTTCATGCCCCATCCCTACATTCTGAACTTCATCTTGGCAGAGGGAAACCCCACAGCTCCTCTCAGCTGTGATGATCCCAGCAGTTCTAGCCTTCATCACCTCCTGACAACCCCATGTTGACAGCCTCATGTGCGAGTCCCCACAACTTGCCTGTTTCTCTCTCCCTGCACCATAGCCCCCGGCAGCTGCTGCATCCCTGCCCTGCTTGGCCCTGGGGCCTGGGAGCAAGGGGTTTGTTCTGCCTCTTCTCTTTCCTCTCCCTCTGGCATTTTTCCTGTTCTCCTGGGGCTTTTCCTGGGATCCAGAGGACTTTCCTGCTCCTGTTAGCACTCTGAATGTCACCTGATAGAGGACATGGTCTCGTCAGTCCTCACCTCTGGGTTCCAGGAGCTTCTCAGCAGCTTTTTGTCTTCTGATGTATCTCCCTCTGTACCACAGTCCTCCTGCAGCAGATCTGGTTGTACGCTACTAGTTGTCCCACACCGAAAAAGAAGTGCACGTAAGCATGTTTCCCAGCTGAGGTCTTTCTCAATGCTGCATCATTACTGATTTATGTGCCACTCTGAGAAAAAGCATGTTAAATCTGTCCATGTAATAAAATTTGAGGTGGTATTTTTAGCCAATAAAAAAGAGAGAGTTCCTCTTGAAAGAAGTAAAAGAGAAGAGTATCAGGAGGGGCAATTTAGCGACTTCAGATGCACCCCAGCCCAGCGCTGACTACTCGCCTGGCTAGCCTGGCATGTAGTAGCAGTGCTCCACAGCAGATGGAGGCATTTCAGGCATTTTGAATCTTTGTCTTCTGGTCTGAGCTAATCATATTTCCGTCTGATGTGATCCCAAACACGTTAAATGTATTTTCAGTTGTAACACACTGTTGAGTGAAGGCAGTGCTTACGCTGACTGTGAGCCAGAGATTGCAGATTACACATTCACAGCTGTGGCAGAGCTTGAAGTAAATCACCGTGTCTGCAGTTCGGAGGGTGATTTACTAGTTTGCTGTGAGATGTGCTCTCCCTGCCCGTGCCACTGGACAGGGCAGGGGTTGGTGTATGCTGTCGTACAGTGTATATAGTGCTGTCTTTGCATGCACCATTGAATTTAGCATTCAAACGTGTAATAAAGCCTGATTGAGATATGAAACTTTCTGAAGTTTAGCCCCTCAAGTTGTCAAAAGACTGTGTGACGACAGAATTAAGTTTCCCATTCCCTGCCGAATGGCCAGGCCGGGCTGTATGGTTTGCAGAGCTGTGTGTCCGATGGGATGTCAGCTCCGGGTCTCTGAGCTGGAGCTGAGGGAACCATCCCTCCCCAGCCATTTTGCTGTGGCATACCCCAAAGGTTCCTGGCTGCGCAGGCACACGTGATGCTCTGCCTATTTTTGCAGGAGCAGCTGCGTCTCAGGAGGCAGATTCTTGCCCTCTGCAGCAGCGCGCAGGCTGGAGATGGGCCGTTCTGCAAAAAGGCCGTTTATAGCAGCCTCCATTTCGTACCGGGGGAGCCTGAAGTGCAGTTGCTTCTTCCTTGAGGCTAAATTTAGCCCCTTCTGCTTCTGCACATCCCTGAGCAACAGAATTTTTGTTTCTCCCCTTTGGTGCTGCTGACTCTGGTTTCAGAAGCGGGACAAAAATAGCTCTGGCTGGTATGCCAGGATGAGAGCTTTGCACTCACTATCTCTCTCTCGAGTGATCCTGGACTATTTCAGGGAAGGGGACTGCTCTGAAATGCTCTGGGATCCCTCCTCCTTCTCCCATCCCAGGGCACGCAGTGCCGTGATCCCTGTCTGCTGCCCCACGCCTGCCTGGGACACAGCCAGCTCCGGCAGAGAAAGGATCGTGGCTTGCCCAGTGACCATCCCGGGCGATGGGATGGGGAAGTACGGGGCAGCCCATGGCGCTCAGACCGGGACCGGGGCTGTGTCACTCACTGAGCAGCCCCTTGTCCATGTGGGCAGCTCCCTGTTGGGAACAAGCCACAAGCGAGCAGCTGATGCGTTACCAAGCTCTGTGTGTTGCTTTGTACCTTTCAGGGAAAAGACCTGTCCTTGGCCTGTTGCTGCACCAGGAGATACAGCTCGGAGGTCTCCATCTGGCATGCCCTCTGTGACTCTTCCCCCTGCCCTGCTGTCCTCTGCAGCAACACTGAGCCAGACCAGCTGCCCCAAGCCTGCTCCTCCTTGCATCCCGAGTGCTCGCTGGAAGACAGGCTGCTCTCCCTCCTGCTGCCAGACACCCCCTACCACCTCCTTTCCACCCTCTTTTGACTAATGTGCCATGTGCCCTGCTATCGTGCATTTGGCGTTGGCAGCAGGAGCTGTCTCAGTGGCAGGACTGATCCTGCACGGTGCTGGATCCAGACCACTGGATCCACAGGTTCCTCCTGGCTCACAACATGGCAGGGCCCAAGCTGAGCTAAAGGGAAGGGATTCAGAGTCTCCTCTTGATTTTTCTCTAGGTTCTTGTGCCCCCTCTGTCCTTTCCACTGTGCGTGTCTCACCCTACAGAAATGCATCTTCAGGGCTAGTTGTGAAGCAGGTGCTACAGCTCTGCTGAGAGTGACTTCACTGTGCATTTACAGGAAAAGCTTGGATCCCCAAGCAGAAGCCAATGGATCCTGTTTTGGAAAGCGTGACTCTGGAGCCAGAACTGGAGGAAGCCCTTGCGAACGCTTCTGATGCAGAGCTCTGTGACATTGCTGGTAAAATAGTTTCACGTGAATTGGGGGGGTTAAGCTGTTTGACTACTAGTTTCTTCTTGTTTGTTCTTCTGTGGGAAATGAGCTATTTTTTTTTCCCCTGTTTGTGCTAATGCTGTCAGTTTTGACAACATTTAATCTTTGTTCAAAAGGAAGTGTATATGTAAAGTTATACTTGGCCCATGTGATCCAATCAGGAGCTTAGACCAAAGCTGAGGAGCAAGAGTGAGGATTTATCAAGGGAACAGAGTGTGCTGTTTGATCTCCTGTCTCTGCCAGTGAATCTTGCAAATTGCAGCCTGTCACCTTCAGGAGCACAGCTTCCTGTTTGGTCCCCATGTGTTGCCAGATCTAGTTGAGAGGTGGCGTCCCTGGTGGCAGGGAGACTGGATTAAAATGATCTCTAAGGTCCCTTCCAGCTCAGGCCATTCTATGATTCTGTGATTCCTTCACGCCAAACCTCTAGGAAACAATCGAGCAGACCCACTGAGAAGGTGGATTTCTTGTGCAACCTATTAAAGAAGCTGGCAGGTCACAGCAGCCTTTTGACAGATGCTCAGGGCTGCTGTTTGTTAAAGAGCTTTCCCAACACATGTTAAAGCTACGGCTTGTGCGGTCGGTTGGTTTTGTGAGGGTTGGCTCGGGGATGAGGGATCCAGCATTAGAAGGTTGGTGTGCTTCCTGACTGAGAAGCAGGCTGGGACTCATAGCAAGCTGGAGAGGGGTACAGAGCAATTGCAGCGGCTGTTCGAGCCTCAACAGTGAGCTCTTCTCCAGTGTAAACAAGCCCCCTGCAACACACGAGGGACAGGCATGGTGCACACCTGAGGGATGCACGCCTCTGCGCCAGGTAAGTTCAGGCAGGGTCCCACTGCTGCTTGCTGGGCAGTGTTGTCTGAGTGGAGACAACCCCCTGCAAGCCTCATTGCTCTGCTGCTTTAGAGATTATAATGTTGGTATCCTGCTAAAGCCAGTAGCATGGGCTTAGTTTCATCCAGGGATAGAGTGCCCCTTGGCTGAAGGAGCACATGAACACAGCTTTGGTGCTTTACCAAGCTCACGTTTCCCCTTGCTAATCTACCAGTGGATGGATAGTTCAGTGCCTCTGGCTGCTTTTTCCGGTTCCGTCTCCTTCAGACTTCCATACTCCCTAGCTCCTTCCATACTCCTTTCTTTGTCAGAAATCTGTAACATAGCCTGTAGAATAACCACACCAACTAGGCGTCTTCTACATAATAATATGTTTTGACTTAGAAACGTGTTTTTCCACTGAGACTTTCAACATATGTGCTCTGGCCAAGCATTGCATCTCTGGATTTTGCTTTTTTACTGTACTTCTAGAGTCCTGTAAAGCCCTGTCCTATAAAATCTGCCTTTCTAGGCTCCAGATCTGTGCTGCCGTTATTCATGCAGCAAAATGCTGTTCTGCACAGCTCATGCTGCCGTTGTTGGGAGAATACACTTGAGGTGACAACCCGAGAACTGATGTGATACAAGCTGTGCTTAAACCTCAGCACTGGCAGTGACAGCATTGCTCCTGGCTGTTTAGCAGCGCTCCTTCAGCATGATCTCGTTTTGCTCCTGCCTTTTTGGTAGGGCTCGTTGTCAGCCATGGCTACTGGATCCCTTCCTTGGCCAGGCCAGTAGGAGACCTCCTGTGGGTGACTCCCAACAAGCCCTGGAAGGACACCGGTGCCTTTGCTCAGCTAGGGGAGGCAGAAGCGGGATGCCTTCATTCTGCCTGAGTTACTTTGGGTAATACACAGTAAGCACCAGAGCTACAAATAGCGCGTCCCTCTTGTCTAACAGCACAAATGCAAAGCCCCAAGAAACCCCTTGTGGTCTTAACAGGAGACTCTTCCCTCTATCTGCAGTCCGGGTATTCACAGTGCTGGCTGGTGGAGAGATTTTGCGCGTATTTGAGGTGTGTGTCCCAAAAATGCTGAGCCTGCAAATTACTTTTCCGAGCTGTGTTGCTCTCCTGAAAATTTCAGCTGCGAGTACATGGCAGAGAGAAGGGCTGGCTAAAATACAAACAAGCAAGTTCCAAGTGTCTAACTTCGCTCAGACTTTCTGACAGAGACTGCTTGGCTCTGTGCAGTCCCCCCAGGGATGTGCTGGCCTGGGAAGGTGGATGATGGTGTTTGTGGACACCCTTTGCTACGGGCTGTCCTGCCTGTGCAACCTGAGTCACGGTGAGCTGTCCATGTAACAGGTACCATTCATGTGATGGGCCTCAGGGGTAGTCTGCAGCTTCAGTCCTTCCTGGGCAAAGCACTGAGCAAACGGTGACAGACTCGTGACAACTAAACGTAAGAGGAGCAGCTCATGGGAAAGCAAAGCGCCTTTCTGGTGGCATGCTTGAATTTTAGGGCAAGATTTGTCCTTTTTCTCTTTTCATGCTGTGCTCATCTGAGGTCAAGATTTGTTCAAATGTGTCTGTTTATAACAAGTATTTGTGTATCCGCATTTTTCTTTAGTAAGTCATATAGATATTTTTCTTCTTAAAAAATGCTGATTAAAACCCCAGTTTTTTACAAACATAAACTTTCTGTGAGTAGCAGTAGCAGAAAAAAAGCTTTGCGTACATGTTTCTAAGCCCTTGGCTTCCCACTGCTCATCTGCAGCTGGCAAGAATGTCAGCAGATCTCCCTGGCCACATCTCAGTGTGCACTGGCATGTTGGTTTTGCATTTGTGAGCCTGAGATACACAACTTGTCAGAAGTTTGGCTTTCAGGCTCTTACGTTCTCTGACTTTTGTTCATACCATCACTTTGCGCATTTCAACTGAGCCAGCAGAGCTTTATCTCCTCACAGTGCCAACATCCCAGAGTACAAAGATCAGTTCAAAGCATCCCTCTGCCCCCCCTGCCCGTTTTGTTGCCGAGCAAAAGCATGGCGTGCGTTGCCACTCCTCAGATGACCATCCCGTTATATGCTGCTGCCTGAGGGGTCAGCATCATTCTGCGTGGGGAACAGCTCATCTCAAAAACAGGGACATCTTGGTGTGCACGAGGTGCTCACCTTGCCCAGGTGAGCAGGGGTGATGATGATGCCCAGGTTCATACTGGCCTGGACCCCTTATATTAAATCCTACTGATGGCTTCTTTTTTTTTTTTTTTTGGTCTTTTATTATCCTCACTATTTTTGTCTGGTGCTGAAGTTGGCTACAGGGAAGCCTTGGGCCTTTGTTTGTTTGTTGTCTGCAAGGTGATGTTCCTTTTCTCCTGTTCATGCTACACTGGAATAAACAAGGGAGCACCTCGGAGCCTTGTTGTGTATTTGTGACAGCTGGGGGCTTGGTCCCGCTTTTGTCTGTTGTTCTGTGCTCACACAGGGAAAGGCGATGCACTGCAGACCCCTGTCCCAAGCAGCAGAGCCTACGCGTGTCTTTTCCTCCCTTTGGAGCCTGCAGTAACTCACTCGTGTTTTCCTTTTGTACTGTAGCCATCCTGGGCATGCACACCTTGATGAGTAACCAGCAGTACTATGAGGCGCTGGGGAGCAGCACCATCGTGAACAAAGAAGGGCTCAACAGTAAGTGATTTAGAGCGTTAGCAGGCTGCAGTGTTTGTCTTTGAAGCTGGTAGCAGAGGCAAAGTGGGAATTATTTTTAGGCTGAAGATTGGAGCTGTGAATGTCAGGGCCGCCTGTGATTGCTGGGGCTGTCCCTGGTGCATCCTTGCCCTGTGTGAGCCAGTGCAATCTCAGCCGCTGCACTGGCACCGTCCGGGGGCTAGCACAGCCCAAGGAGTAGTCCCATGCATGCAGTGTGCCCTCCATCACCCTGTCTTGGACACGGGGAGCTCATATCAGCAGGCACTGCCATCCTGTGCAGGCTGGCCCCGGTGCCGGGCAGCGTTTCGGGGTGCACGTGAGCACGGGTGGAGCTGACAAGCGTGTGTTCGGTCTCTCACCTTGCGTCTGCTTGTGAAGTCATGCCTCCCTCTCCCAGCACCGCTTTTGGAAGAGGAGAAACACACATGAAGAGAACAGGATGCTTCCAGTGTCACCTGTCTTGCTTTTAACTTGCAGGTGTGATTAAGCCCACACAGTACAAACCAGTTCCTGATGAGGAACCGAACTCAACGGATGTGGAGGAAACTCTGAAACGAATACAAAGCAATGATCCTGACCTTGAGGAAGTCAACCTTAACAATATTATGGTATTTGCTCCTTCCTACTCTCCTCTCTTAGTAGCAGGACCAAACATTTGATACACAGAAGGCAGAGACCAAGCCTGTTTTGCTGCACTAATACCACAACCCTGCGGGCCGCCAGACGAGACACACTGGTGCTTCCCATCTTGGTTTTGGGTGGTGGAGGTTGTTACCTGCTGTGGGACAACCGTGTGGGCTTGGTAGCAGGACTCCTGTAGGTCGGTGGAAGATGGGAACTGTGCTGAAGGCAGTTCAGGAGACCCGTCACCAGCCTGTCTGGTTAAAAGCATTCCAGGTTGCTGTAATGGTTTAGTCATGCACATATGGTGGAGAGGCTGTTTATGTGAGATAAAATGGTGGGAGGAGGAAGGTTTCGTAATAGTAATCTTCATAATTTCACTTGCTGTGAAAACATGAAGAGACCTCCCTTCTTGCAGGTAGCCCTGTCCATCTCCCATGCATCCCTTCTGTGAAACTTCTTTACTTCTTGTAGGAAGCAGATCAGGACACAGCACCACTTCTTGTCTTGCCTTGGGGACGCAGACTGAAAAATACAGTTTCTATCTGTCCTTCCTGACTCTAGAACCCCCCTCCCATGGGGTCTGTTGAATGATGACATGTTCAAATAGCAAGAATATGGTTATCTGCACACACAAATTAAAAACACTTATGCCATACAACCTGCACCTTTTGATGAAGAGAAGATTTTTACTTTTATGATCTGGCTAGTGACCCTGAATGTCCCTTGAGGACACCAGGATGACAATCTGGCAGGCAGGTACTTCTTTTGAGTGTTGGACTTGTGGCTTTGGGACACAGTTTGGAGAACTGGGGAGTGTTGGTGGAGATGGTAAGCTGCTGGGCTCTGTGCTATGACGCTGCACATGGCTTTGACCATAGGTGATTCCACATGGTGGGATCCAAATGGTATGGCAAGAAGTCCAAGCTAAGGATACCACTTAGAATTTTAGATAGGTGAAAATTCATGCATCGGAAAATGATCTCTAAAGTGCCTGGTACTGAAAAATACTTATTTTGTAGGAACTCAGGTAAGCAGCATGGATTTATTTTCTGGGCTGAGACTTAGCATGGCAAATGTTAGCCTGAAAGATGTTGTATAAAGCAGTGACAGAGGAGTCGGTGGTTTCTACTACAAGGAGATTGTTTCAGGTCTTTCTGAATTGAGATCTATAGGTGGAAATTTTCGTGAACATGACATGAATGTTTCTTAGTGCTCTCATTCGCGTTAAAAAGTGCAGGAGCAGTGCTTTGTAGGCTCATGGACCCTAGTTACATACATCCCCACAACGCTTATATTTGGAAGTAGCTCAGTTTCTGGGTAATTAAATTACACAGCAGAGACTTTGTAGCTTCAAATCAAGGCAGTCAGTTACCAGCAAAGTAGGAAATAGGATGGAGGCATTGCCATGCTCTGTAGGCTAGGCTGATGATAGCAAGAGAACTTGTAAAAGCATTTATGGACCCCTCCCTAAATTACTTAAGTGCATTTGGTTATTTGATCTTGATAAGAAATTTCAAGTATTGTTTAAATATATTGCATGTTCCTTCATATGGTTCCTACGGATGATGGCTAACATGGGTTTTCTGCATTTCTTTTCACAGAATATTCCCATACCAACTTTAAAGGCTTTTGCAGAAGCACTGAAAAATAACACCTATGTGAAAAAGTTCAGTATAGTTGGAACACGGAGCAATGATCCTGTTGCTTTCGTAAGTATTGTTCGGCTCATCACAAACTTTTGGCAGGAGCTGTTCCGGGACACTGTATTTTTGGAGTGAGTAACTGACTGCTTTTGCACCTTACAGCGCATTTGGCACATTCTGCACCTCTGGCATTTGGTGCAGGTGCTTCGGTTTCAGGAGCAGTAGTAAAAGCCAACGACAGACAGGCTTTGGTTCCTTCTCTTCCTTTTTCAGCTGCAGAAATTTCAGGACACAAGTCTTTAATCCCATTTGGTCTCATATTTGTCATCAAGTATCTCCTGGAGAAGGAGTGGGAGACAAGAACTGACTTCCTAGTGGCATTCTGTAAAAGTGTTTTGTCTCCCTCAATTAATGCTACATCAGAGCCACCCTATTTGTTTCTGCTGGTACAAAGCTGTACACTGCTGTGTGCACACCCATCCGCTCCAGCTTTTTATTCATAGAGTGCTTTGTTCAGACCTGTGCAGAAGCAGGACTCTGCATTTCTTATGGGTGGCCTCTCTGGGTACTGAAGGGTCTTTCTGGCTGCTGCAAGCTGTCTTAAATACCAGCAAGGTTGCAGAGAGGTGCTGAGCATTCTGCTTGGCTCTTGTGCAACCTTCCAGGCTGCATCCTTGCACGCTCCTCCAACACCATTGCAACCAATTTTTGCTCTTCTTCACTCAGGCCACCCCTGCCTACCTCCACGCACGCATGTGCACACCAGTTTCCTGTTAGAAAAAGAACTTATTTGGGGGGGTTGAGTACAGCCCTCACATTATTTTGGGCTCTCTGGACTGTGGAAGAAAGCTGTGCTGGCAGCGCTGGCTGTTGGAGGACCCATTGGTGACTGTGCAGGGCTGGGGGAGTGTGACGGAGAGGCTGCACTGCAAAGTTCCAGCTAGAGATCTGTTCGAACTTCACTCAGAGGTCCAATACATGGACATCACTGCAAGGTTGATGCTGTCAGTTTATTAGAACTATGCTTACAGGTCTAATACGTCACAATGCAGGTTTTATGGCTACAGTGGGAGAATGCACTATTGCAATTAGAGAAAGAAACAACACCACATCAACACACGGGATACACTGCTACAGACCTCAGTGATTCCCAGGAAAAAGTGTTCCAATACAGGTTTAAGAAGCGTGCCAGTTAGTAACAACAGCAGTCCGAGAGTATGGCACATACTTAGTCGCTCAAAGGGTTCTCAATCCCAAGGAGAATGTCCTCATCCAACAACTCTGATAAGGGGGGATGAATCTTCTACAGTCCAGATGTATGGTTGGAAAAACTTCTCTCCCCAGTTCTGCCCAAAATCTCACAGTGTTTATCCTGTAAGGATGGGATGGGGGGCAGAGGCATGCCTGAGGGCACTTGGACTGTCTAGAATGTTTATCTTTGGTGATGTGATGAGATTTCCCCTTGTCTCTCCTGGGTGCCCCTTGCTAAGTGTGTGATAACCAGCACACCGGTGACTCAGCCAAATTAACATATCTTGACTTTCTCAGCCAGATTAAAGTATTTCACACGCACATGATTTACTCAGCAGAATTTAACACATCTCAAGGATAGAGAGTGGTTGAATATGAGACTCATGGCAAAATGTCTGTTTTCTGGGGTTTGGTTCCATCAGGTTTTGGTCCTTTTTCTGCTGTTCCATTCTGGGACAACTCAGGGCTGGGTCATTTTCCACAACCCCCCTTGGGTCACCACAGTTAAGGGTCTGTCAAGGTAAAACAGAGCTGAGCTGAGCTAATACCTCCTTGCATCTTGCCTTTGTTCACCGAGTCCTGTTTCTGTGGGAACCCACACAGGGAGCTGAGGAGGCAAGTGCTGTGTGAGCAGGTCAGGTCAGTGCTGTGTGAGCCCTGCCACTTGGGATTGCCTTCTGGGCCTTCTGTTTCAAGACATAGGTGGGTCCTCCCCTGCAGCTTATGAAATTAAATCATCAGACTGGGAGTGTGCCAGCCCACTTCTGGCCTTGCCCTCTGAGGGAAGCAAAAGGGATGCCACTTAGGAAGATGTCTTGGATAGAGAGAATCACTTGTTCTTCAAGACAGGTGCTTCCCTCTCTCTCTGCTGTGATGGGAAGCATGTCAGCACTGTGCAGAAGGAGCAGCACAGGCAGGGACCCGGTCAGGCAGGAGGCAGGGTAAAGCTGGCCAGCATCCTTGTCATCAACATGCTGCCCTGAGAAAAGGGACAGATGAAGCCACAATGGGGCAGTTGTGGACTGTCACCTTTCAGGGTGACCCTAAAGGCTTCTCCTTTAGGGTTTTTCTGTGACCTCCAGCATGCCCACATTCAAGAATCCCCCTGCAAGAAGGGGGGAACCCCCTTCTCAGAGCTCTCCCATCTGCTGGCAGTGAAACCGCTTGGCATGCGGGGTCCTCCTGGTGTCCTCCGGAGGCGAGGGGAGTGGAATGCTTGCTCTGCCTCTGCCTCTCTTGACTGCCAGCTCTTCCCACCCACATCTGCCCCACAGGCACTGGCAGAAATGCTGAAGGTGAATAACACACTGAAGAGCCTGAACGTGGAATCAAACTTCATTTCTGGGTCAGGGATCCTGGCTGTTGTCGAAGCGCTCCAGGGCAACACATCGCTGGTAGAGCTGCGCATCGACAACCAGGTAGAGCGCGCGAGAGCGGGACCTCTCCTCAAGTGAACGTGCCCTGGGCATGGGAAGTTGAGCAGTAGCTGGTCAAGGTGGAGGGTGGCAGCTCACCAGCACTGCCAGGTTGCTCAGTTGAGGTTTCAGCCCCTAGTTCCTGTTGCAGTTCCTGGGCAGCACCTGCTATTGCCTGCAGTAATGAAAGAGGGGCCGTGGGAGTGCCAACAGCTTTCCCTGTTCCTGCTGCTGCCCTGGAGAGCAGTGATGCCCTGTCCAATTCGATGCCTTGCTCTGAGCTCTGGCGGGGATGTAAATAATAATATCTATTTAGTAAAACTGAGATCTTTGTTACAATGCAAGGGAAGGAGCAGGAGAGCTCCAGGGTGTGCAGCGGTACAGCTGCTGTGGCAAGTTTAGCTCCCAGGGAAACCCAGAGGGCGGCAGTGCCGCAGCCAAGCTGTGGGGAGCTCAGGGACAGGTGACTGGGAGTTGGAAATCACAGTACCTCCATACATTTCTTAGCTGCAAACCTGATCAAGAAGTATTGTCTTTGAGCAAGAGGACTTGTGGGAGTGTCTGCTGGAGGAGTTGGAGCCACTTGGTTGTACTAGGAACCCGCCAATGGTTTGTTTCACCAGCTCCAAGTCAGAAATGACAGGGAAGGAAGGAAGGGGTGGAGATAGATGTAAGTGTTTGCTCTGAATCACCCTCTGACCTGACCAGCTTGCTTTTCTGTTTTCAAAAGAGCCAGCCCTTGGGCAACAAAGTAGAAATGGAAATTGCAAACATGTTGGAAAAGAACACCTCCCTGCTGAAGTTTGGGTACCATTTCACTCAGCAAGGTCCCCGGCTCCGTGCCTCCAACGCCATGATGAACAACAATGACCTAGGTGAGTGGGGCTGGCTGCAAGCCGGGGAGCATGGGACAGTCACGCTCTCTGCCCATGGGCAGAACTGCTCACTCGAAGGCCCGGGTGGATGTGCTTGAGTTAGAAACCACTTCTTGAAGGGCTAGACGATGCCTTGCTCCTCAGGGAGGAAACCAGCCTTCACTGGTTCCTCAACACACCTGCTGTCAGCCAGGCAATGGGTTGTGCTCCAAACCTGGAGACCCTGGGCTGCTAAAGCTCCCAGAAGAAGCAGCATTTTTGGCAGTATCAGTGAGTCTTGTCAGGAATGAGGGAGAACTGCTAACGTGCTTCGGTACGGCGCGTGATACAGCATATGGCTCATGGGTTGTGAGCTGCCAGCACTTGTGATTCCTGCCAACTGCTTGTCTTCCTCCACCTTCATTCCCACTTTAACAAGGAGATGAAAAGTAGTAAGAGTTGAACTTTGACAGCAGTGGGACTTGGCCCATCCCCTCCAGCAAAATGAATTGCAAGTGTTGCTAGGGAGAGGAGGGACGCCACACGGCTTTGAGTTATCTTTATACTCTCAGTGAAGTGATCAGAAGTGCTTGTGGAGCAAAACATGGGCAAGTCTGCAGACAGCTGTTTCAGCCAGTGCAAGTGGCAGAGGGTTGCCATTGCTTGGCTACCACCTGCTGTGGAGCCCAGCAGAGCTGTGTTAAATGCAGCCATAGGCACATGGGCTGCACAGGCAGGGTAGTTACAAACGTGACAGCACTGAACTCCTCCTCAGCACCAGCAAACAATGTATTTGGGAGGAATAAGCAAAACACTTGCCAATTTTTTCTACTTCAGGGAGAACTTCGCCAGGAGGGTGAGGGTTTGCAAGACGCGGAGGGACAGAGCCAGCAGCTGCGCTGATGGAGTGCTGGCAGAGCCCAGCTGCGAGTGGGACGTTGGGCTGGAGGTTCCCCAGACACCCCTTCACCACCAGCACTGCTGCGTTCTGCCAGACACATCTAGAAAGTAAAGGCTAACAGGCAGGGTCCGAAAAAACACCTGATGTATAAATGCCAGCCATGAAGAAGTACTGGAAAACTGGAACCACGTATTTTAATTTGCATGTGATTCCACCACATTCAAGGTCTTTTGTCCCCTTGTGAATTCACTTCAGGTTTAAAAGCCACGGAAAGCCAGCTTTAAGCAGTTGCCATATCTAGACAGATCGTGCATTGTGCTTATAGATTAGATAGATAGATAGATAGGATAAGATAGGTAGATAGATAATCAATCGTGCTTTAGCCAGTACTGTGCTCCTGGGAAGTCCAGCTCACCACAGAGGTATGTGCTAGTTCTTTAGTGACCACACAGAATACTCACTATTATGGTTCACTGCGTATTTATTCTGCCTGTGACTGCATTCCTGGTCATGAGAGCTGCACCAGGAAAGTCTTGCTATTTTCTGTCCTTTGCAACAGAGCAAGGGTTTTAATGACCAAGCAGCACCTGGCATGCAAAACAGTCAGCTCGAAGATTTGGATCTAGGGTTTTAATTGTTCCTGCTCTAAAGGGCAGAATTTACAACTTGCCTTCCATGTCCATATAACAGCTGTGTGTTTTGCCTCTTTGACCATTAAGATCTGCATTTTTGTTTGATTTGGTTCTTGTTTGCAGCTCGTATTCATCGGTGTGATGGTCTCTGGCAATAGTCTCAGCTCCATACCCGGATAACGTATAAGTATAGAAAAACTTTATTTTCCTCCCTCTCAGCAATAGCTCTCTGCTTGTGCTCCACTCCAGCACTCTTGCATCACCTGATGCTACTGGAACTTGGTTTTGGTCCTGTAGCTTTTCTCTGAGATGCTCTGTATGTACCAACTATGAAGGCTTGTTACAATTCACCCTCATGAGCTAACTTCTGCATCCTCTTTATGCTTTTTTTCCCCTTTTTTCCATTGCACACATTTCTTGAAAAACATAGCTGTCAGAACTGTACATCAGCTTTAAGAGTAGATTTGATCATGTTAATCATGATCAGAGGGCTGGAGGCTAAAGGCTTAAGATAAGACATGAGATAGAATTTTATTTTTTTAAAACTTGAAATGGCAATTTATAAAAAATATAGCACAGGAAAAACTGTTGTGTGCGTCTTCTGCTCTCTTTACATCACTCAGCATCAGATGATGCTTTGGCCAAAGTCAGATTACAAAAACAAGCTGTGTGAAATATAATTGATTGCAGAAGGGGGACGTAAGGCTGAAAGAAGCTTCTGGCCTTAAAAATTCACAGGGACAGAAACCTCACCTTACCTGCCTTGATTTTAACTGAGTAAGGCTGCACCTGCTGCTTGAAGCAGGAATTCAGAAGCTGATTCTATCCTGCTTCTTTCCTGGAAGAAAGTACGTCTTGGCTCCTTTCCCCAGCCAAGCCTGCCACGACTGACTCCTCCTCCTCTTCTTTTTCAGTGAGGAAGAGAAGACTCGCAGAGTTCAACGGGCCTATTTTTCCCAAGTGCAGGACTGGAGTGTAGTTCCTGGCTGTAGAGGTCGTTCCCGGTGATCTGTGCTGCACTGTGGAAACCTAAAGGCAACAAGTGCCTTGACAGAGTATTTGTGGTGCCTCGGTTCTGTTTTATGCACTGTTTAAATTAAACTAGTGGCTGTAGTTGATGATTTTATCCAGTAGGACTGTTGATGTTTTCTGTAGAGTTGGAAACTATTCAAGCCAGTAACAACCTGCCAATTTTATGCAATCTCAGTTTAGAGTACATCCCAGTGTAAAAATGACTCTTAATTAACCTGGGACCTAATTTTTCTATAAACTTCCTGCACGATGTTTCATACAGTTAGGATGTGGTGTGCATGAATGAATGATAAAAGTGTGCCACACAAATTACAGAAGTATTAAAAAAATACTTTATTTTTTTTGTCAAAATTGATCTCAACTAACTATAGAGGAGCAACTAGTTTAAAAGCAGTTCTACTACCTGGAAACATGGCTAATTACAATTTTTTACCAACATTTGCTGAGTAAATTAGTTGGAGGTGCTGTTTCAAATGCATCCCTGTGTTTCTAACAAAAAATTTATCTCCACCCCGATTACATGGAACTTAAGGCCACCAATTATAAAAGTCTCAAAAACTGAGCTTTTTCTGATGGGTTAATATCCTCCTACCCTACACATATCTGAAGAAAACAAGTCACCTTTTGAGATGTGATGCAAATCCTAACCCTGCACAGATGGTCAAACTAATCAGCAAACCCAGACCCCTCTCTCCTCATCCCCACCCCCTTCAGTTTCCAAATGTTAAAATCATGTGTCCAGATACTTGCTGAAAAAAAGTCAAATTCTCTCTCTCTGCTGTTTTGCCTAGATGACCGTGACCATCGATTACATTTTGTTCTACTGGGGATTGTTTCTTTTGCTGCTGTCTCTAATGTCTGCAGAAATGCCACAATAAATGTTGTGCCCTAGAAAAGCTGTGAAGTGAAATACCCCATTCCTGAACTGACACTGCGTAGTCCGACAGCTTTTTGCCCGTCAGTCTCCTGAGAGGAATTCCCCACAGGCTCCCAGACGTGCAGCGGGCTGGACCCAGCACTGTCCCATCCAAAACTCCCAGCATTAACGTGGGTGGGTTCCTGCTCGGTGGGGCAAGTCTCCTGGCAGAAGCATTGCCATACTAAAGCCTAACTTTTGGTCAGGTGACATGTCCTAGAGAACGTTCTTACTTGCTAGAAATCTGTGCACATCTGTCAAAAGTGAAGTTTTGCAGTCTTTTACACATATTCTAGCAGATTTCTTCAGAGCCTGTGCACAAATACCACGCATGATTTAGCTCTGACCAATGAAGCAGAGAAACACTATAATTTCAGCAATGTGGGAAACACATCTTGATCTTCAGATCTTAATAAATGCACCAGTGGTGTCAAATAAAATGCTTTGCTATAGCTTCTTCCCCCCACACTGTAAGTTCCATATCAGAAAATGAATGCAGAAAAAAAATACTTGAAAACATATTTTGTAAAAAAGAAAAAGGAACTGGCAGCCAACCTCTTTCTCCCATATGCACTGTGAACACTTAAAAATGGTCAACTAAATCATCAAACCAGAGCCAGGGAGTTCCAGCTAAGCCACACACTCAAATCTACATGGTATGGGCTCACCTCTTCCATTGGCTTCAAACAAAAATTAATCTTATCCTGGGAAATCCCGATGGTACTAAGAAACCCAGACATGCAAGGAGATGCATCTGCAGAGCAGGGAGCAACACAATGGATACTACAACAGCATTTTTTCCTGAATGAAAAAAATAGCCCTTAAAAATAAAATAAAATAAAAATAAGCAAGAACCTTGTTCTGTATTTCACAGTAGCAGCATCCAAATTAACCATGCAGCCTAAATGTAAATTAAGCTGGCAGGATCACTCCAGGCTCCTCAGCTGATCCCCGCAGAGTTGCTTTACTGAAATATGCAAGGGAGAGCCGAAAGCTGTGCCGCAGAGACACACTGTGCTGAGAGGCATCAGGCTTTGTGGTGAAAGGCATCAAGCTGTGCAGCGAGAGAGATACAAAAAGTGGTATTTAGGAGCAAACAGATCACAGTTTCTCCCAGCAGCTCTCCAGGAAAAGGAGAAAAAGCCATCTGCTGACTGCACCATCTGGCAGTCACAGCCAATCCTGCTTAACTCTCACCTCTCCCGGAGCCCATGTGCCTTCTCTCAGGCATTGCCACTGAGGTGCCTAGATCTTGCACACAGCATTTCACATCGCAAGTCCTTATCTGTATTGATTTCACAAAACTAATGCAGAAGCCAGAATACAGAAGCTGGTTCTAGGCTAACTTGCACAACTAGGAGAGGCCAAGGTTATCTCTTAACCCTGCCTCCCCTCCCTGCAGCAGAAGGGACACAGCTTTAAGGGTCTCCATCTACACATCGCAAACCTTTCTCCTCCCTTGCCCTAGTGCAAGGATCCAAAACGGCCTCTCGGCTCCCCCTCTGCCTTTGAGGTAGAATCTCCAGCTGCCAGAAGCTCTCAGAATTGTACCTTACAGCCAGGTCTACCACGTGGCAGCTAGCTAGCCGGGTTTCAGCATCCACCTCTGCAGAATTAACCATCTCCAACATAACAGGTGAAGTGTATTTGTGCAGTACTTTAAAAATTACTGTGGAAGCACTAAAGGTTACTTATCATGATAGGAGTTTCAGAAGTTTACATATAAAATACCACTGATAAGTGACATAGAAACAGCCTTCCAGAGTGTTCCAGTCTCGCTGATAGACTGAATTGTAGAAGAGTGTTCTTTTTTAGCTGTTAGACACGAAGAAAAGAGAGAATGTAATATGCATGTTGGGGCACTCTCATCAGCGCTCTACACCAGGCCTGCAAGTACAGCTTCCATGTTTTGTCTCAAATATTCCAGTCCTCAAAAGCACAAAGGTTAACTGGACAGCAAAGCTCGGGAGGCAAGATGCCAGGGGACAACAGTACTGCTTAGACTTCTGCTGAAGATGTCTCCCGATAGGAATTTTCCAGTATCTTCTCCAGTATGGATTGTGCACAGATACACTATTAAATACCATCCTCTACAGTTTCTCAAAGAAGACATTCTTAAGTTTCAAAGTTTTGCTTCATGAAAGGAACAGTCATAAAGACAGTTGCTGAACTGTTGATTTCACAGTAGCAATACTGGAAGTAAGAAGAAGTGTTTGCCATGGCTTTAATGGGACCAATGCCCATGTCTTTCAGTTGCTAGTCAAGCTAACAGCGAAGCCTTGCTGAATTCACAGCACTGTGGGAAAAAGTTACAATCTATATGAAAATAACATGGCCTTAACTGTCACTAAGCAACTGCAGAAACCTGAGTAAACTGTTTTCGTGCCTTTAAAAGCAGTTGCCATTAAAACCCTCAACAAACCAGTAAGTAATTTTTATTTCCTGATGACTAACTACTATTTAGTACCAAGAATGACGGTAAGTTTCAAAGACATTTTTCATTCAAGACACATCTTCTACACTACTAATAAAACCTTTCTGTACGTTCTACAGCATCAGGTAAACAAAGCAGCAGGTGTAGAAGTATTTTGAGTTCATATGCTGTGGATCCCTTCAAATTCAAAGACAATTTCCCCACTGATAGGAGCTGGTAATTACGTAAATATCTCACAGCTTTTGGAAAACTCAACCCATGTTTACAAAGGACAAATGCTCCCCAAATCTTATTTAACTTGGATAAAGTATCTTGCAATCTCCTTACAGATGTTGCTGACGTTTAGGCACACATGCCAGCATCGTTTACAGTGACATAATGCTGGTATTTTGACAGTTCCTGTGCCCCCCTCTCTGTGTGTGTGTGTCAGTTTCAACATGGTTCAAGCTGTCATTTTTTCCTAGTGCAAGCAGAGTTGAGCCCTGGATATTTCATGGACAACTTGAGGAAAACAGTTCCCAAATAGACAGAGCCCTGGAATGAGGATTAGTTTTGCTGTTCATCCTACAGGTCACACCCAACAAGCATGACTGGGCAGACAGTATCTGGGCCTTTGCTCCCATTACAAGGGAGGTGCTTACGCCACCTTCAGCTGGTTTTACACGGGGCTAAAGTCACTGACTTCAGGTAACTACCCCTTGCTTCTCACTGGTATAAAACAAAAGGCACGGGCAGATGGTGTGTCTGTGGAAAATATCTTCAGCTCTAATCCAGTCATGTACCTGACAGCCCATCTGCTGCTTTCATACCCTAGCACTAGCTGTTGAAGCAACTGCATGAGCAACAGAGAGGTCCAATGGACAGATCCATCTTCATGAAGGAGTTAAAAAAAAAAAAAAAAAGGAATTGCTGTTATGTCCTTTCAGCTTCTTTTGAATTGTGAGCAGCTGTGACCCACTGCTCCAGATCCCCATGCTCTGCTCCAAATCCCCATGGTAGAGGCCACGCTACAAGACTGTACCCAGGAAGAAGAATCCTGTAGTGCTGGTGATGCGTTGGGCACTCTGGTAATTTACAGTCAAGTCATGGAAGGTTTTCAGGGCATACTCTAGGCTAAAAGGCAGCATATGAACAAGACTTTCCAAGCGAACACGTTTTCAAGATTTCCAAACCTAACTGACTAACGGATAGGGAACTGGCTATAGAAGTCTTTTGCATTAGCATGTGTCAGATTAGCTAATCAAACAGCTTAATTTTTTCCTGTGTCCAGCGTCCTTTGCGAGACATGTTCAATAGGTACCCTTAGCCGTCTCCTTGTACAATCACATTCCTCCTTAAGTGTCTGTCCGGAAGACCTTGAAGTCACCTTGAGCTCTTTCTCTTGACAAAGAGGACAGCAAGCTGTAAGACCTTTGTTGCGACAACTTGGACACGTCAGGACAAGCTGCCGGCAGTGCTGGCTAGAACAATGTTTGTATTGGTCCCACAGAGTCCCACAGTATCTGCATGCTGGAAGGAGGAGGAAAAGAAAAAATTAACACCCACATTGCCCCATCTGTTCCCCTTGCAGAGGGTTCTCTGTGGCTGCAATCTCTCATTTAAATGACTGTTGTCTTCCAGGTTTTTAATTCCTGCTTTAGCTTGATCTTTTAGAGCCTAGTTGATTTTTAAACTTCTGATATTGACGTAAAAAACTTAGGACAGCTGTCTGTCAGGAACAGGAAGAAGTGCTCACTAGTGCTTCCTCTATTTCCAATTAGAAAGCTTTAAAGATTCTCACTGCCAAGAGAAGAAGAAAGACATGCTGGTGGTAATCACGCTAGTACGTAAGAACATTACTGGCTGGGGAAGGGGGTGCCATGGGACAGGCTTCCACGTAAGAGCAATAGCTTGTGCATTCGGTGTCATATGCAGTCCTGGCAGAGTCCTTCGACAACATCAGAGAGATTTTAACCCTTCAACTGAAGGCTACAGCCCAGTTTAGCTGTGCTGGCAGGGTGCCTACCCCAACACTTCCCCTAGAAAATTCTGTAAGGATGGCTGTGATGTATCTGGTGTGTTCTGTTTCTACACCAAGCCAGGCACCTTCAAGATGTATGTGATAATTGCAGGGGAAGAACGAGAGTTTATACTCAAAAAGTTACCTGCTCAGAGAAAAAAACCCAGACTGCTGTCTAAAAAAATGCTAGAGCCAAATTCCATCTATTTGTACCTGGCAACTGCAAAGAAGAAAACAGGCAATTCATTCGCGTTATCAGAAGAGTGACCCCAGACAGATGACCAGGCCATGTTTTTAACAACTTTAACTAGAAGTCACTGAAATTCTACAGGCTACTGGAACTTTTAAAGCATGAAAACAACAAAGTGCTGTTGGGTTTAGTGCCACCACTCTCCCTGTGCCTGGCTGTCTGTGCCCGATGTTCTGTGAGGTTACTGGAACAGAGAACAGATGACAGCAGGAGAACTATTCAATGATTCGGTCACTTGGCCAACCACAGTCTGATCAGCACTGTGACCAACAAGTGGGTGACAACAGCAGCAGCGCTCAGCATACATCTCCATAGCTGGAGATGGCTCATAACAGCAGCTGTTCCTTTTACTGCTCCAGTTTTAGGGAACTCTGTTTAGTGACCCCCCCCTTTTCTCTCCTCATTTCTGTTTTGTGTGTTAAAGCCAGAGCACTGATAATCATCATGTAAAGAGGCAGCACTAAAAGATCAAAGTGACTATGAGAAAGAACTACACAGAGAGTTTGGCTGCCACTGCACAACTCCGTGGAAAGGACTGCAACAGCTTCCCAGCCTTCTAGGAGGTCTTACGTTATCTAGTCCTACCTGAGATGATATCTTCATTGGAACAAATGGCGTAACGATCATCAAATACAAACAGCTTCCCCCTGTAGAATCCATCTGGAAACTCTTCCAGGTACTTGTGAATTCCACCTTTTAGCTGGTAAACCTCTCTGCACACTGCCTGTTTAAAGCATATTAGCAGAAAAGCTGAAGAAGACAACAGCAGTGGTGGTGTCCCAGAGATCCCAAAGCAAATGTTGTAAATGTCAGGGGTCAACGAAAAGCAGCAGCTTGCCAGTTACCATCAGAGGGCACCACGTGCACCCACAACTCTAGGCAGTGCCACCAGGGATTATCCGGCAGCTCCACAATGCTGGTTTGTTGATACAAACCAAACGTGCATTTAATGGTACAGTCAAAAAGCTGCTAACCTCCTCAGTTGAGGGAAGTTTGCTGCATCACAGATTAAATGCTTTTGAATCCCTGTAAACAGCTACTTATTCGGTTTTTTACGTAGTGAGCTGTTAGCAGGAGCAGAATTTTTCAGAGTTCACACTGGTGCAGCAAAAAAAACAAATGAACCACAAGGTTTAAATTTCTGGAGGACGTATATGTGTGCTCTTCCTTTGCTCTTGAGGGAAGGATCCAGGAAAAGAGTGGGATGGAAAGCACAGTTAGAACAATGCAGCGTGCTGGATTTATTCCACAACAATGGGAAAGCACTGACTGGCTGATTTTCATCACGGAGTTGTTCAAGCTGCAGAGCATAACCCAGACCGAGCCTGTGGAGAGACTGCACGATGCTCTCGGCCCTCCCAAAACATTGCTCCTGTGGGCAGGGCAGACTCACAACTCTAAGAAAGTGGGTTATATAATTCTTTTTCACAGGGCAATCACTGCTTGATACTAGTCCATGCAGATCATTGTGAGCTGCATTAAACTACCCAAGTCCCTGACAGACAGCATGAAGCAAGTGTGTGTCAGTGACAGGTACCTCCCCACCTGCTTATTGAGCAGTTCGTGCTCAGTAAGAATTTAGCAGCAAAAGAAAAGACAGCTGCCCTTAAAGCAGTCGCAACTCCCAACACTTGTGCCCTCAGAATGAAGTCTCACCTTGCTCCGGAGGTAAGCAGAGCCTCTTTCACAACGAATCCCTCCTGTGCAGTACATCAGGACACGCTTGTCTTTAAAGAGCTCCAGGTTTTCATCTACGTAGCTGGGAAAATAGCTGAACTTTCTGATATCTGGAGCCAGACAGCCCTGGAAGTGTCCCTGCAATAACAAGAGATGGCCATGTGATTGGTTACAAGCAGTCTTACATGGTGAAGTCTGTGCCTCAACCTTAAGGAAGCAACAAACCTTTGGCTCAAAACATTCTGCTCAATACAGCTGCTTTAGGCCATTCCTCAACTGCATTTATGCATCGAAATACCTGTTAAAATCTGTAAGAGGTTTCTGGACACAGCATGTCTCCTTACCCAAAAATGAAAGAGCGAGCTATGCAGAACAGAACTGTCAGAGAGAGGATGAGCCACAACAGTGCAGGAGGGCTGGCAGATGTCACAGCAGGATGCCCCTATTCTTTTTGACATGTGGAAAGAGTCAAAAATGCTGTGCAGCATCCTTACAAATTATGTTACTTTTACTTCAAACTATATGGTGTTCACTGCTAATGTTGTTTGGACCACATTGTCTTCTTCGTGCCCCAAGCTGTATAAGCGCTTAGCCAGGCAGGCTACATGCTGAGTTGCTGAGCAGGTCCCCTGCTGCCTGTGTTTAATATTCATTACTAAACTGGACTTTGTACATATTACAGGCAATCTGGAATAGGAATCTCTTCTTCCAGTAAGGGTACGTCCTCACAGTGTGGAATGCTTTCCCCCAGCACCTGTAACACACTGTGAGAAGCAGGCAAGGAACACTTACTATTTTACTTTCGTAGAAGTTCCTACAGTCCAGCAAGATGGTATCACTTTGTCCTTGACTGGCCTGGGACAAATACTGTTCTACTTCTTTATGAAACTCCTGAGGGGATAAATGGATTCCTTTAACAAAAAAAAAAAAAAGGGGGGGGGGGAAAGATGTGAGAAGCAGAACTACAAAACAACATCACGTATGATCTGGCTGATCCAGATTCTCCTCAGATTTCCAAACAAAAACTTTCTGTGACAGTTCACAGACGTTTTATCCCAACTTAACCTGCCAAGTTTATCCATGTTTGGCTTCCTGCTGGCAAATGAAAACATAACACTGTTCCACATGACAGAGGAAGAAGAAGCAGACAGAGGCCCGTCTTTATGATCTTTGTTATGTTCCCCTGGCAACTCTAACAGTTGTGAAAGAAAGAGTGAAAAATGTTTCCCTTTCCTTTGCTTATCTTTCATTACATCTGGAGGTGCAGAAGAATACAGAAATTGCATTTTTTTAAACTAAACTCTTCTCTGCTGATAAAAATTGCCATAACCCTGTATTACCTCCAGTACAACTTCCATTTACATAAAGTTTCTCAACTTTCAGATTAATCAGGACTTAGGACTCCCAACCTACTGAAAGCCAAGAAACCTCCCCCACCAAAATCCCTTATCTTATGAAAGAATAAGCCTATAAACAACCTGACAGAGTAACAGGAACAACCTCCATAAACCACTGTAAAATAGGAGTAAAAAGAAAAAGAAAAAAAAGAAAAAGGGAAAGAAATATCCAGACATACACCCTACAAATTACCAAAAACTGAGGAAAAAAATAATCCTCTGCCAAAACCACAAAAAGGTGCTGTAGAAACCTCTGGTGGAACAAAAAGCCCAAAACTGCTCTGTTAATTGCTATTTGCTGTGCTCCTGCTGACCACCTATGCAAGCGTCCTTGTAACAGGTGCATAGCCAGTAATATCTGATTGGGCATAATCCATACTAAGCAGCTACAGAAAACAAAATGCAGCCTGTGTTAGCAGAGTGGCATGAACCTGGTGCAGAACTTAGGGTAAAAGGCAGGAGCATGGCTGTTAACTTAAACTCAGGTAAAGTTAAGTCAGCAGTTCATAACACAAACACATGCATACTCAAATATAAACTTCAGCAGGGTTCTGGCATTTTCTAAGGTAAAAAAAAAGCTCTCAGCATCCACAGCACTAGAATCCAGTGGATCCACAAGAAGACTCCATGGAAAGCTCTTACTATACAGCTTGGTTCTTACTGCAAGAACCACAACGAGACAGCTTTTTATATGGTATAATTTCTGAGCATTTTCTCAAACCTCTACAGAATATTTCAAACAAATATGAATATATTCCTGCATTGAAACATCTTTCCTAACTATCATACACAGCAGGAGCCCAATGACTTACTCCCTCAATAAAGCATAAGGTATGTCCCTACCCCAAAACAAGGTTACTGCTTGATGTCATTGGAACTATCACTGTTTCCCACAAAATGGAAAGATAATTCAAAAAATTTTTTGAGGCAGCTAAACACTTAACAAACCAAAACCTGGGCCAGTAAACTCCCTGCACCAGTAAGTTTTGACTACTAATAAGAAATAAATTTTCATATCTACTTCTCCTGTGTCCTGGCAACTATGCAGAAAGAAATTTTTTTGGTGAAGGTACTTTATTCTTCACTTACCTCTCACATGGGTAGAGGCTTTACTTTTCATTAAATCAACTTACCAGTTTCTTTATAAGACACTATCTTTGGATCAATGCCCATAGGTACAATTTCTTTGAATACTCCAACTCGAAGGTCTGGGAAACAGTAAGCTCCTCCTGCACTGCTCTAGGAAATTTAACACAAAAACAATCCACCAAAATTTATGAAGTGTCAAGATTAAAATTACCCACTCACTTTAATTTTCCACAGCTCCCTAGAACAGGAAAGTGTCTTGGTGGCTGAGGGAAAGAAATGTCTTTCCCACTGAGATGCACATTCTAAATCCTAAGCTTTGGGCAGTGGATCCCTACTACAGCCTGGCAGAGTTGTCTCAGGGTCAGCGACTGTCCTGCAGGTGAGACAGGCACCACTTGGCATGAGGTGTGGAGTGGGAAGGAGAACAGATCTTAGAAACAAACGTCACTAGCACCCATCATGAGAAAGTCAAGGACCCTACAGAGCATGTGGATGCCAACAGGAGTATTAAATAACCTCCTCCAGTAATGGATCATGTTGACACACCTTGGCCCTGCAGTCCTCCTCAGCCCCTCTCACACCTGACATATCACACACTGTCTGTAGCAGAGCCCGGCCCCCAGCCACCACACATATGATGCGAGTAGCCATAGTTCATGAGTATGAATCAGACAGATGGGAGCTCAGCCAGGTTCAAGACTTTTTAACAGAGGAGTTGGACACTCCCCACCCCCCAAACTGAAGTGCAGAATTTCCCCTTTGGAGGTCTTGGTGAGCCCTTTTTGGTAGGCATCCCTGCTGCAGGCAACAAGAAGCGAGAATTTCTGCAGGGCTGAACCTCAAACATGGCTTAGGCACTACCAAGCATATAAATACTCAAACAAAATATGTTCATAGCCCTAAGTGCAATTTTCACTCCTCTATGACCATGTCTTCAATGGCACAGGGACTTGAAACCCCCACTTACCACAGTACATAGCACGCAGAAGAAGAGTGAGACAGTTCTGCATGCTGTATAATACGGTATTAATACTATCGTGTATTAACACATGAATGTTGATGCCCAGAGAGATCCTGCAGGGTTGGAGTTTTTGCCAGGGTCAAGGTAAACTTCCACACCTATTCTACTTTTGCATCTACACGTGACTGTAACAGGTCACATTTACTCTTGAAATTCAGCCAAGCACAGCAGTTAAAAAGCTAAGGCTGAACGAGCACTGCAGCTCTACCTGAGATTTGAATTTCACAATTTTAACTAACTTCTTTGGCCTAGTTATTTATGGGAAAAAAACCAGTATTCCATGCAAATAAAACTGTGTGGAAAAGAAAAATGCTATAAAAGCAGCAGCTTTCCTTCGTCAAAGAGAAACCAGTACCTACAGTGCTGAGGCAGCAGAAGCCTACCAGAATGCCATGCTGTGCCAGCCACAGCTGCCATCACCATCTCAAGACAGCAACTGGCACACGTGCTCAGACCCAAGCAGAAGTCAGCACTTGCTCTGCAGTTGGGCTCTCATGTGAGTTGGGAGAAACCTCTTGACTGTGCCTGTATATTTTCTCTAGAAGACATCCAGTTCATGCAAGTGACAGTGCAGCCATATGGACATCAAAGCCTGCATGAACTTAAACCTTCTAGGCAAGGGTCTCAAATCAGGGTGAAAAGCAGAGGGCGGGAACAGTTTGCTTGGGTAAGGGTACATTGTGATGCCTTGGTTTTGGCAGTGAAGTTGGAGCAAATGCTTGTTAAGAATGGCCAGGCTGAAGCACACTCCCTTCCCCCATATAGGGGGCCCTGCAAATGCACACATTGCTGCCAAAGCTTGTAGCAGCTGCTATCACGATCACCGTTATAGTTGGTGCAAATCAGCAGAGATGTCTAAATAAAGTAAGGTTGGGAATCCTTGGCTTAGACGATTGCTGGGAGATCAGAACTGCTAGACCAGAAGTAACACTATCAAGAAGCAATGTGTTTATTTCTCAAAAATTAGATGCCTTGCATTAATTTTGACAGGTATTCTTATTTTTTCATACCTTGAAATCCTCTCGACACAAAATGTCTTTGAACAAAGGCTGGGAAAGCATAACTTCAACGTAGATATTGGTAGCTACTTTGCTTCCACCAACTGTCCCATTAATCCCTTCTGAAGCAACTCGTACCTAGAAGGCAAGATGAGAAGCTGGAGCTAAGGCTTAGTAACAGCAAAAATAGATCACAGTGAAATTAATAAAATATGACTGGGTGACAAAAAGCAGACAGAGAAGTATGTTCAGAAAAAAAAACTACTGAGGAAGGAAGGAAAAGATGGTTATACTAAAGTTGAACATGAAGAAAATAATAAATAAAATAGGATAATAAGCTCCCAGTAATTGCTTTCGAGCCGTTTCAAACAAGACAGTCAGAAAACCTTGTGCAATAAACAGAGAAAAGCTAACTGCCAAAACCTACAGTCAACCTTGAAATTCCCACTAGGAGCCTGCCTCAGGACAAACAATAGGATTGTGCCCAATGACTCAAACAGCTAAAAGGAAAATGTGAATATGCATAATATTGCATGTGTAGGGGTACAACGGAAAATGGGCGAGGAGGACTGTAGGCAGGCTCAAGCAACCGGCACCTGAGGTGTCGGAGAACACCCGTCACACTGGATCACTGCTCGGCCGTGTGTGCTCGACCACCAGCACACCCACACGGAGATAACAGAGCCCTGGGACAGATGTGGGGGCACCTCTCACATCCCTGCCCTGCAAAGCTGTCGTCTGAGCCCCGGGAACTGAGGCCGAGCAGCAAGGAAAACATAACAAAGCCGTGGGATGGACACCACAGGCTTTCCAGCAAGGAGAGGTCTCCTTGTGCCTGTGCTGCTGCTTGCTGAGCTGCTCCTGTGATCGGTGCCCGTGTGCCTCACCCAGGGGCTGCTGCAAGGATTCTTCAGATTCTCAGGTGGAGAGAACAAATCTACTCCTTGCATTTCAGCTGTGGTCTGTGGTTGTTCCTGCATCCTGCCTGTTTCAGCCCACACACATGTAAGATCATATTTCAATGCGAGTCATTTTATCTCCAGCACTGACAAATGAACAAAAACTCTGAAGTGGTGAAAAATAAAAAAAAATCAATATAAAAGACAAGGGAAAAAGCAACTGGCTGAGAAGGCAAATGCTGTACCTGTCTTGGAAACGGGAAAAAAAATTGAGAAAAATACCAACCACCAGACTTAGCTGAGCAAAAAAAAGAATTGAATGTGTCAGGGTGTTTCACTCCCAAATCATGTGTAGAACAGGGAAGGTGCATACCACTGGCAGAGAAAAAGAAGCTACTTAGTAACTATATGCATTCTGCTCTGAGTTGCCCTCTTGAAAAATCCTTCTCTTCACAGATAGCCTAGAAACATCAGCTTTGAGAGGTTAAAATTCATCTTTCCTTGCAGCCTCAAAAGGCCAGCCAGATGACCCAACTCACTTCCTTGGGCGAGTCTGCGAGGAAGGAAAGAACAAAGACTCTGTGCAGGAATGAGCTCTGCTGTCCTGTGGTGTGGTCTAAGGTGTCAGTTGCTCTCATCTCACTCCTGACAGTGCAGGGGGTTACAGCTTGATGCAGTAATTCTGACTGGAAGACCCCTGTGCATTGAGGCGTCAGGGACACAGGTAACTGTTAACTGGAGCAGGATCAGACTCTGCTTCACCTCCAGCTCAGCTCTTGGGTTGTGCTGTATGATTCCTTTAGGATAAATTGAGCCCAATGTCATGGGTTTGAGCCTGGCGGGGTTTTAGGAAGCATGGGGAGGGCTGTGGGGGATGGCTTTTGCAAAATTTCGAGAGCCTCCCCCAGTCCCAGGTAAAAGTTGGACCCACCTGTGGCCGAGGCCAGGCCAATCAGCACCTCTGAGAACAAGGTATTTAAGAGGTAACCCTACTGAGCCAGTTCCTCTTTCTTTTTTTGTTATCTGTCTGTCCTTTCTTTTATGTTGGGCAGTTTTTCTGCTGGAGGAGGGGGAGATGAGAGGAAAGCAAAGGAATGGGTTGGTGAGGAAAGCAGGTGAGAAAGGCACAGAGGAGAGCACTTCCCTGGAGGCCTGCGGTGAGATGGCAGGGAGAGGATCGCCCGCGAGCTGGGGGGACCGACAGTGGTGAGAACGTCCAGGATAGAGCAGCATGTGGAGAACCCCATGCCAGAGGGGAGAGGGACCACACAGAGCAGAGGATGCACCCAAAGCAACCCATGACCCTGGCTGGGACTCGCATGGAGGGAGAGGGTTGCCCTCCACGAGATGGACACCACGTGGGGAAGACGAAGGGGAAGACTGAAAGGAGCACTCTTCCCCGAGAAGGAAGGACTGCCATGGACAATCACTAATGGCCAGATGGACCAAACTCCTGCCCCCCGCCCCTCATTGCTCTGATGGCAGGGAGCAAGTAGCCGGGAAGAGGGGAGGGGTGCGGCGGAGTGTATTTAAGATCGGGTTGTATCTATCTATGTACTCCTCTCACTATCCTGCTCTAAGCTAGTTGGTAACTGGTGGTGGTAAATTAAATTTATGCTTCCTCCCCAAGTCTACTCTAGCTTCTACCTGCCATCGTAAGTGCTAAATGGACCCTCTCTGCCCTAATCTCACTCCTTGAGCTTTTTTAGTTGAGTTTTCTCCGTCCACATCCCTGAGGGGATGGGGGAGGGGGAAGGAGCGAGTGAGTGACCGCGTGGTTCTTTTTTGTCAGGCTGGGCAGTCAGATCAAGCCACAAGACCCAAAAACCCTAACAGAGATGCCTACATGCAGGTCCCCATTGATATCAGTGATTATGCCACCTGTGTGTCCTTGGGTTTATTTAAAACGCATCAAAAAGTTCTCATGTGAACAGCCGTTCTGTTTGACAGTAGGAGTGACAAAAAGATTCGGTTTTATCTAACAACAACAAAAAAATATCTGTAACAATGAATGATGGAAATGGGGCAACCCTTGCAAGGACAGGGTCTCTAGAGCATGCCAGCTCTTAAACAGCATTGTAAATGATACTTCACAGAGTCTGAGTGCCTTTCTCAGTGGGATAACAGACTAGCACCTTCTGGTGCAAAACACTTGATTCTCCACATGCCTGATTGTCCTGCACTAAGCAAAGAAGATTTTTTTTTTTGTTAAGAATACAACCACCGCTTAAAACCTTACCTTGCCTGTTAGATGTAGATGCTGGCACAGAGCCTTTTGCCAAGCACAAAGCTTCTCTGGATCCTTGACCTCACAGTAACAGTAATACAGAAGTACTTCTCCCACCTTGCTGTTCATTGCATGGCAAAGATGAACAAACAGGAAGAGTATGTTCAGGTTGAAAACACAAAAATGTACAAGTAGCAGTAATATTCAAAAAGCAGACAATTCTATTCCAGCACATGCAGGGAGAAAAACAAAACAGCAAACAAACTTTGGAGGGATTAGCACTTCTGGGTTTGATTTACAGTATCACAGAATAATAAAATTATTTATTTCAAAGAGGAGGAATATGTACTAAAAAAGCTCCAACATTCCTAGTTCTCATGACCAGCTACAAAATGAGCTCATCTGTGCTGCATGGGACTTGAAAATTAAGGTGCTTGAGCTATTTAAATAGCAAAAATTTTCCATGAGATTGTGCATGCTGGCATTCTGAGCAGCACAAGCCAAACCCTCTCACAGTCAGAAACATTTCCATGAACCTACTTATTCGTAACTAACAAGCCTTGAAGATACTTAGGGGGCAGGTTAGCTCAGTAGTTTGAGCAGCAGTGCTGACAGCAATGACAACACCGAGGTCGCAGGTTCGATTGCCGCTGGGTCCCCATGTGTCTCCTGGACTAGTCTAGAGGTGGCGTCCCTGCCCATGACAGGGATGTTGGACTAGATCATCTTTAAGGTCCCTTCCAGCCTAGGCCAGTCTATGATGATATGATACTTGAATGAGCAGAGAAAAGAGGCCTGCACAGAGCATATCCTGCTTTCTGCTCTTTTTTTTTTACAGCTCTTTCTTAATTATAGACCTAAGTTTGTAGATTGAGGGATACCTGTACAATTCTGAATTCACAACATAGGATGGTGCAGCTCTGATAGTTCAATTCTCCTAAATTCCCACATTCACTATCAAAAAAATGCAGTGTATTTATTTCCTTACCAGCAGTAATCATAAAACCATAGAATCATTAAGGTAGGAAAAGACCTCGAAGACCATTAAGTCCAACTGTCAGGCGAATACCACCAGAACCACTAAACCAGGTCCCGAAGTGCCATGCCTACACGTTTTTTGAACACCTCCAGGGACAGAAGCTCTGCCGCTTCCATGGGCAGTCTATTCCCATGCCTCACCACTCTTTCAGTAAGGAAATCTTTCTAATCTAAACCTCTCTCAGTGCAACTTGAGGCCTTTTCGTCTTGTTCTGTTATTGGTAACTTGGGAGAAGAGACCAACACCCCCCTCACTGCAACCCCCTTTCAGGCAGTTGTAGAGAGCAAGGAGGTCTCCTCTCAGCCTCCTCTTCTCGAGACCAAAGAATCCCAGACCTCTCAGACGCTCTTTCCACTTCCCAAGACATGTTCTGCAGACCCCTCAGCAGCTCTCTTGCCCTTCTCTGGACCTGTTTGAGCACCTCAATGTCTCTCTTGCACTCTGGTGCCCAAAGCACTATCACTGCCCTGCTCCTGCTGGCCAGGTGTTCCTGATCCAGGCCAGGGCGCTGCTGGCCTTCTTGGCCACCTGGGCACCCTGCTGGCTATGCGCTGTTGTGCCTGCTGCCCAGCAGCACCTCGCAAACCTGCACCTGCACCTTTTCACAGGTGTGAGCAGATGTGAGAGGAACTGAAATAAACCAAGTGACTCCTGGAGGGTACCTACACCTACTGACCCAAAGAAGCACCTCAGTAAGGCAGCTAAGGCGTCTAAAGACCTAAAGGAATATCAGCAAAGGCTCTTTCTACATCTTAAAAGTGCCACTTGACCGAACTTCCTAGAAAGTGCTACCGGCAGAAGATCATCCAAAGCGCAAGCAGCCCAGCGCCCCGCCACCCCCCGACCTCCAAGCCGCCCAGGG